CAGGGGTTGCACATCCCACCTGGAGCTCCAGGCACCCTCTTCCAAGATAGCACCTCGGGGCTATCACGCTAGAGCAACCCCTCACACAACCACCTTCTTGGCCTTGACTGCTGGTACCTTTCCAAGGTTACCACCCAGGGATCAAAGGTTTCTTTGCTTTAAACTTGGGGAATGGTGCAGGTGTTTTTTAGCTCAGTTATCTGCTAAGTGGGAAGGTAGGGTGGGGGATAAGCTTTTATGTTCTGGTGTGTGGAGCTCTCCAGGGTACAACTCTACTGAGCTAAGTGAACGATAAGCACACCATCTCCTAAGAAAATCAGATAAAGCTTAAGTGGGATGGCCTTTAGGGATCACCCAGGCTGATGATTCTAATCTAAGAAAAACATTTTACATGGCAACCTCCAAACACAGATTCATAATGTGCACACACAATCATTAACAAATATACCATGAAACAATACATGTTACTGTTGCCCGTTTTAAAAAAAAAATTTATTTTTCTTACAATGTTATTCATTTTTGTGCAATAAATGGATAAATCCCCATAAATCACCCACCACCTCATTACCCATGAACTGTCACCATAGTCCCTTGTGTTCTTCCCTCCTCTGTTTTGGCCCCTCTCCTTCCCTCTCCCCTGCTGTATGCTTCAGATCTACAGTTTACCTGCAAGTTTCCTTTTTTTTGAACTTTTGTTCATTTTCCTTATATTCCTCCTGTGAATGAAACCATTCATATTTTTCTTTTTCCTGCTGACTTATTTTGCTGAGTATAATCCCTTCTAGCTTCCATGTTGCTGCAAATAGCATGAGTTTGTCCTTTTTGATTGCTGAGTAGTATTCCATCATGTATATATACTACATCTTGATCCTTTCATCTGTTTTTGGGCACTTAGGTGGTTTCCATATCTTAGCTATTGTGAATAGTGTTGCAGTACACATAGAAGTGTAAGCTTCCTTTTGAATTAATGTTTTTGTGTCCTTTGGGTAGATTCCTAGGAGTAGAATCACTGGGTCATATGGTAGATCAATTTTTAATAATTTGAGGAAACTCTACACAGTTTTCCACGGTAGTTGGACCATTCTGCAGTCCCACCAGCAGTGTAGGAGGGCTCCTTCTTCTCATCTTTGCTAGCATTTGTTGTTGCCAGTTTTTAAATATACTATTGCCCATAATTAAAATGTTGGTTGTGATTAATTTCATTTCATGATTCACCAATGGGTTGCAAGGGAGTTTGTAAAGCTTATTTCTTTATTTATACATAGAAGAACTGGGGTGTAGGCCAGAGAGGTGCAGGGGGTGAAAGGATTCACCAGAGACAGAGTGGTGAGCAGAACAGGCAGATCTACTGAAATATACTGCTAAGGGGAGCAGTGGGCGAGACAGGAGAGGTCTGTTGTGCCATATGTGGGTTAGCTCCCTGGCTGGGGTTTGAACTCAGGCCACAGAGGTGATTGTGTCATAGTGCTGAGACTTAACCCCTATGCTGCCAGGGAGGCCCAGTTTGCAAAGCTCTTAATGAAGGTCAACATTTTCATTTTCAAGCTGACAAAACCAGAGATTTCCCCAAGATCACACCAGAGCAAGAACTGACATTAAAAGGACCTGCCAATTAATTAGGGGTCCTGTTTTTCTGAGGAGCAGGTTCATTTCTGTTTTCCCCAAAGTCCCAGGAGCATATAGCCAGAGGGAAGGCAATGCCCAGTAGTTTGTATTCAGTGATGTTGCTGAGGCAGAAGGTTTTTGCTGCCTCTGGAAAACCTCAGAGGGAAGTACAGCTGTGGGAAGTGGGGTGGAGAAAACAAATTCAAAAGCAACCAGGTAAGGCTCTGCGGGGTCCCAGTTTTATATGCCAGTTGAAATTGCATCATCACACACCTTCCTGGATTTTTCTCTTTCCTTAACACACAGCCTCAGGTCAGCCTGTTTAATAATTCTTCTTTTTTTTTTTTTTTTTTTTTTTGCCTATTTTCCAACTTTTTGCAGTGTTTTAAAACTTCCACCAATCATTGTATTTCTGGTTTGCTTTCTTTAAACACCTTCCCCTTCCCTGGCACAATGGTGATCTTAGCAATGAGCGTGAGAGAGGCAAGTCTGTGAACCTTGTTCTCAGAAACACTATCCTAAAAGTAGTCCAAGTTAGACCAGACTTAAGAATGCTGTTTATCAAAATGCCTAGTGTTAGAGCTAGAGGCATTTTATCACGGCAGGGTGGGTTCTTTTCCCCCTACAATTGTCTTATAATCGTCCATAGAATTTCTTGCAATCTTTATCCAAATTTGCAATTTACTAGACTTCTAATCTTTTAAGAAAGCCTCTAAAACTGAAGGGCCAAAAGCCACACTGTGCACTGGGTAAATAAAAGTCCAACTTTCTGATTGCTTATTACTTATACACCCTTAGAGAGTATGTAACAAAGGGACCTGCTGTTTGCTTTGCTTAATCTGGTCTTCAAATCTCTGCTTCTTTGTCAGAAAACAATATTTGCAATTGTAAAAAAAATATTTACCAAGGAACTTGGATAGCATAGGTCAAAGGCTAAGAGCCAAAGGTCAGTAGTTCTTACCCCAAATTTCCCTGGACCTGCTGTGGAGCTCAGCTGCACCAAGCAAACACAGAGCTTTCCGGGTTCTTTAATTGGCAGACATTTTAAGGGGAAGAAGGAAAGGGAAGGCTGCAGCCTGTTCCACAGTCAGATGCGTGGACTCTGCAGCTGGCTCCACAAAGTTCCTGCTAGATCAGTGTGATGCAATGTGTCTCCATGGGGAGAATGCAGGGCCTTACCTTGTTTCACCAATCTGGGGAAAATACTCAGCAAAATCCTCAAGGGTAGTATGTCCCATTATGGTTCAGACCATATTTACCTATGCAATTGTGTGGGTGGGGCTTCCTATCTGACAGTGGGGGACAAATGAGTACTTCTATGGAAACACTCTTTAATCTATAAACAGTTTTAGACATCTGACCCTATCAGCTAATTTCAGTGGTGTTTGAACTTTTTCTTTTGAATAGGATTTCTGGACCCTTTTCATGTGTGTGGGTATAAAAGCTTCCCCCATACCAAACCCACCAGTCACGGGCAGGGTGTCTGAGAATCTTACTCAATTCTAACACTCTATTCAGAGAGCATCCGACTCCATAGGTAAAGAGCTCAGTCTCCCAAGACCGCCTTCCACTGCACATGCCAGTCTCAAGATTAGCCTATTAGCTGTGCTTCTCACCAACAGGCTACAGATTAGAGCTCCCCATGAACCCCTCCTCAGACTTCAGTAACAGCTGCAAACTCAACTGGTTTTGATCATAGGCTCCTAGGATACCCTCCTCAGGTTTGATTAATGTGTTAGAGTGGCTCACAGAACTCAGGAAACCCACTGACTCACTTTATTACAAATTTTTATTCCTGAAAAATTATTATTCAGGATTAGCTGGTAGGAAGAGATACATAGGGCAGGGTCTGGGAAAAGAGTTCCCATGCTCTCTCCTAGCCTGCCATTTCCTCCAAATCTTCATGTGTTCATTAACCTGGGAGCTCTCTAACACCCCAACTTTTGGGGGTTTTATGGGGTTTCATAAGCATGGCTAATTAAATCAGTGACCACTGGCAATTGAAATCAGCCTGTAGCCCCTCTCTCCTCCCTGGAATTCTGGAGGTAGGACTGAAAGTTGCAATCCTCTAATCACATTGCTGACTCTCCAGGCAACTGGCCTCTATCCTTAGGTGCTTCCAAAAGCTTTCCCATAATTAAAGCTGATTTCATCACTTTCAACACATCTCTTTCAATTCATATATTTCAAGGAATATATGAGAAATAAACATCTAAATGACCAAAAATATATTTCTGATAAATCACAATATTGCACCCTTCATGTTTATTGTTTTCTAGATATACCTACAACTGGATACCTTTCCTCACCAGCAGGGAATCCAGCATCTGAGAATGATGGATCAGTGAGTCCCAGACTATTGCCTTTGGCTGCTCTCCCATGAACCAAAGTCACCTCCTTCCAAGTCTCAGGCCCATGTCACATGTGTAGGACAACAAGGTCTGCTCCCCTGTGATGACTTGAGCACAGGGAAAGGAAATAGAGTAACCAGAGAAGGTGAAGAAGTAGGACTCACGGTGCCATACAAAGTGCCACACAGGCTCCCAGTCGAGACTGCTCTTCAGTGTGCTCAGAGCATCGAAAATGGTGCTGGTGTTAGGGGTAAAGGATGTCCTGAGCTAATTCCATACAGGCTTTGTGGACTCCACCCCCACTCCAGACCAAAGCCATCAAGACACTGGAAATGACAAATCCCATCATCACCAAAGGGAGGGTTGCTGGGACCTGAGGGTGGAGTCAAGCTGCTAGGGTTGGTATAAAACCAGACATGTGGGCCTTGGGTCTCACTCTCTTGGCTTCACAGCTCTTGGCTTGCCACCAGATCTCAGCGTGCCATTGGGATTCCAGGTTTCTGTGGACTGGGTAGGATGCATTTAAGACTTTATTTCCCCCTTTTCTCCCTGAGTTGTACATTTCCTCATTTCCCCTTCCCTTGTAAATAAACCTTTAGTTAACCTTTTGAGTGTGCCTGCAGTGTAAGTCCCCTTTAAGCACACAGGTGAGGACCCACATACAGGCAACCCATTTTATATTGGGGTTGCCCTGTAACAGCTGGTCCTGCATGGTGTCAGAGACTCACGGTCCAAACCCTCGCTCCATAGGATCTGGAAGAGGACTAGGTGGTGGCGATTCCTAGCTTACTTGGTTTAACGCTCATTCTTTGGTTGTCTCATTCTGTTAGAGAACTCTAATTCTCCCTTAGCCCCACCTTGACCTTCTGCCAAATTGTTGCCATGATTGTCAATCTCTTTGATCTTATCAGGATAAATATCACTGGCCATTTCCTTTTGGCCTTTGATTTGGTCTTGAAATATTCTCAGGAGCACAGCAGTAATTATCAACAGCAATGGGCAGCAAAATCAGCTTAAAGAAACGACTTTATCTAAGAATCTTACCTTGAAGAACCAGGCCTTCCTTCCTAATGGTGTAGGTAAGTGAGGTGAAAGGAGCCAGAGGGGATTTGGCAATGAGAATCTGCACATAAAGCATATTTTAGGGTTAGTTAAAGGAGGTGTCAGATTTGAGCCTGCATTCATTATCCTTACTTTGAGAAAAAGTAGTAACTTATGACTACAGGCCATCAGTTCGTTATTACTTAAAATTTATTCTAGAACAAAATGAGTGCTATTCTTTCAAAGTGATCACCTTGGAAGTTTGTACATTTATTCCAACTATTCTGTTACCGAAGATCATATTCTTGAACAGGTTCTTCTAGGAATGTTTCATGATTTTATATCACTTGCCTAAATAACTACCTTTCTGTCCAAAGATAAATCTAGCTTGATTCTCTAGTTTTGTACATAAACTTGGCTATTTTATTAAAAAAAAATTCAAAGATACCTTTCATAGATAAAGATTTGCCACCACTGTGAATATTCGAAGTAATTTGCTGAAGACAAGGTACTGGGAGGTTGCTTTGTTGGCGCCAGCTCTTCACCACATCTGTGTTCACACCCTGTACCATGTGACTACATTTCCTCTTACTTAAGGTGTGGAGTGTTTCCCATGGTCCTAGACTGTGGGTTTGGCCACATGACTTATTTTAGCTATAGGTTGTGCCAGTTCTCAGCGCCAGCCTCCACAAGCCTCACACATTTTTATTTGTTCTCTTATGCCTCTACTAGAGTCAGAAAAAAATATGTCCAAGCTAGTCTGCTATCTCAGAAGAAGGACAAGTGACACCTAGAGCAGAGCTGATGAGCTGGGCCCAGGCTAAATAGTTGAGCCACATACACATTAAATACATATTATCAAGTGCCTTTGAGATTTTGGTTTGTTATTGTTAAAGCATCACTGCAGCAAGTTGACTCATTTGCCAGCCAAAACAAAGTATCAAAGATATTTTGATCAATGGCATTCTCCAAAGAAGAAACTTACTTTGCAGGGAATGATCACTGGGTTATTAAAAAATTAGTATCCCTAACCCATTACCACATCTGACATGTGATTTTGCATCTTACATCAGCCCCTCTCAAGACTGGAGGACTATTTTATTATAACATTTCTCTTGAAGGAAGATGAATATCAATTTCCTGTCTTACAAATTAACATCATCAAAAACAGTGATAGTTTGGCACAGAGCCACTTAGGTAATTGGAGATGCAAGAGAGAAGAAAGAAGTAATTTCAAATAACCAAAAGGCTTACAGGTCATATCTCAATTCAACTCCACTGGAAAAACATTTACTAATTGTCAACTATGAGAAATAGTGGAACAATGTGGTAGAAAGATCACAGGTTTTGTCATGAAGTTGAATCTAGGCCTCTCAGCTGAGCGCATAGCAAAGCCTGCAGTTTTCCCATAGTAGCCATGACTCTTTGAGTAAAAAAATTGATCAAAAAGAAAAAAAAAAACACTCTGGAAGTTTCAGTAGTTCTACGTATATTTTGCAACTAGCAGTGGCCACGTAGCCAAGCTTTGAATCACAGAATGTGATTATAAGTGACAGGTAGAACTTCCATATTTTTATAAAATAATTATGAGCTCTTTGTTTGCTGTTTTCCCTTTCCCAAGGGCAGGAAACGACTAATAATACATGGACATAGACATCCTGGAACATGAGGAAGTAAGATGGGAGAAGGAAGCTGGGCAACTTCATGGAGCACCCAGGCCTAGCATCTGCAGTCGCCTGTTTATCTCAGGACCGCATCACCTGTCCGAAGCAGTGTATTTGGATATCTTTGTTACTGTGGTATAGACTGAATTCTAACCAATACTGTGACTCTGGACAATATAACCTTTTCTCATAGGTAAAATGGGGATAACAACACCTACCTAAATGAGATTCTTGAGAGAATCAAATTAAGTTTGTAAAATGCCTACCATTGTGTCAAGCTAACAAGAACATTTCGAACCAGGCCACATATATGCTTGCCCAAGTACCCCTTAACTCTTACTCACTAAAAACCAATGTTTTGCTTTTACCAGGATTCAACTCAAATTGAATCTCAATGATTTTTACACCCGTCTAAAGTTATCTAGATAAACTTGGTCATCATTCTCAGAACCAATGAGCAGATGTATAGGTGGGGCAGTTTATCTTCATGTCAAAAACATCTCACCAGACAATTAAGGGACGAAGATAGTTTGGGGATTGTTCAATGTAAAGTTTATGGGTGCCTATTGGTAGGGGAATAGCTTGGTAGAAGAGGTCAGTGTGAGCCAAAGTTCAGTGTGCATATGTCTCACTTGTGAATTCTGTTGACCGGCAGATTCTGATTCAGTAGGCTTTGAGATCTAAGAGTCTGCATTTCTAACAAGTTCCCAAGATATTCTGGAGCTATGGTCCCTAGACCACATTTTAGGTGCTGGCTTCTAGGAAATTAGCCTGATTAAAGGGTCTAAAGTGGAGAAGCAAGAGCAGAGACTCTTGGACGCAGTTGGGAGAGTACTGTGATCATTCAGGGGTGAGAGGATAAGAGCCTATATCATAGCTGTGTCAGAAAGAGTGGGAAAAGGGGAAATGGATGAGAAATATAAATCCTTTAGATCAAAGAGCAATAAAAAATATATTAAATATTTCTAAAACCTCAGATCTTTACTGTCTACATGAAACAATTGGACATGAAACCAAAAGGCATAAATAAATAGTAATCTATATTTTTAAAAACTGTATGACTTTATTTTATAGACTGCAGAATCAAGGAAAAAAGTGATATTCTAATACAATAAAACAAATGGCATTTGAACTGAATCCTCCAACTCAGTGTGCTACATCCATCATCTGACTGCTTCCCCTTCTGGGGGGTGTACGCCCACTCTATGAGTCAGCCCTGAGTCTGTGAGGAGGACCTCATTTATAGGGACTACATTACCTTTCATGGAATCAAGGTGTTTGGACAAGTTGTGATTAATGCCCTATCCTTCTCAGAGTTTAAAATGGCTTATCAAAAGGACAATTTGTGTGAGTTAGAAAGTAGTGATCAGATGAATCTCACCTCTTTTTCTTGGAAAGAACTTTGAGATTGGTAGATGAGAGGGCTACTCCTAACACAAAATACCTGTTTTTCAGCAATACACGTAATACTCGGTAGCCTTCTACATAAAGTGAAGGCAAATTGGCTAGATACTAATACCATTAAGAGAATTTATAAGTGACCAAAGAGCAACAGCATTCTGGATGTTGCTGAATGTACTGGATTCAAGTCTTGGTCCTGTTACAGTCAATGTTCTTACTGACCTGGACAAATACACAGATCTATTTAACCACATTCGTACAACAAATGTGGGATTCATCAGGAAAAGGAACTGCCAAAATTACTGCCCCAGTAGAGTTTATGCTCTACGGGAGGCAGAAAGATAAACAAAATAAAGTATAATATATGGTATGTTACATGATTATGTGTTCTTTAAAGAAAAAAAAAAAGCAGGGAGAGTATAGGACGTAGTAGATCAGAAGATGTGGATTAGTAGATTAGTAGAGAAGACCTCACTGAACAGGTGACATCTAGACCTGTCGATCATGTACCTAAACCCACTGAAGGGATGCTGAATATGGTAATAGAAGACAAAGTAGCGAAAGAGTTAATATATTAGATAAGATAATCATAATATGGAAACAAATCTCACTTTGGTTTAGAGTATTGGGACAAATTCTGCAAATACTTTAGGATGCAATTTTATTGACACACACACATACAAGGCCTTGTTCTTGAGAACAGTGGGCCAACCATTACAGAATGGGGGAGATGTGACTTAGCATTCATAAAGTGGATTAAAAGTATTAGTTTCACTACAGTTCAATTGTGAGATGTGATTCAAATCTAGTATGGTCTTAGATTATGTCAATGGAGACAAAGTATCTGGAACAAGGGAATGACGGTTCTGCTTTCCTTCTCACTCAGCAAACCAAGGTTGGACTGGAGCTCAGATTTCAAACAGGAAACTGACATACAGGACGATAACTGGAGGAGCTCCATCTAGATGGTTAGACACCCAAAGTAACCCATGAGCACAAACACTACAACACAAACACGATGGTAAAAGGCTGGGGTGAAGGTACTTATTGCCTTTCAATTGAGTTTTCTGAGCTGGGAATTCTACAGTGTTACCTACCAGAGAGGGCTCATGTAAATTAGCTGCCTAGCCTATAGATTTCAGAAAAACAACAAGCAAACAGATGCTTGCTATGTGAATAGATCGAGACTCTTCTTCTTTGTAGACTTGAATCTATACCTTAAGTCCTTGTACCTTTCTGCCTTTCAAACCACAAATCATCCTCTTCTAAAATAAACAAGCCTCCCTAGCGGATAATTTAGGTTGTTCTATTTCAGAGGTTCAGTCGTTCTATAGATTTGGGGTGTTCTAATCATCATGTGACTTGAGCTGTTTTCAACTGTCCTTTCTTCTTCAATACATATGCTCTGCAGGAGGGACCTGGCTGTATAATAAAACTCCAGGCTCCTAGTGAAAAATTATTACCACATTCAACCCTGTGTGCAATGAGTGTAGTTGGTTTTGGAACCCTAGGGGGGTTCGTGGAAATCTGTAGTTGGGCAAGAATGAAGGCAGACACATATATCTCAGAAAGCCTAGAACTCCACAAGGCTGGTGTGTGGCCTTATGAACTAGAACTAGCCAGATTGGTTTTTTTCTTGAGTGTTTCTTTCATACCATTAACTATACCCTAATGAATATACTTTCTCCTCCCTTCACAAATATTTACTGGGAACTTTCCTTTGTGCCAAGCACTGTTTTAGATACAGGAGATACAGTAGGGGGCAACACAGATGAGGTTCTTGCTCTCATGGAGCTGACATTCTGGTGGCAGAACACAAACCATATAAGAAATCTTTAGCTCTGAAGGCATAGCTGTTTGAAACCGCCTAGAGTTATCCTTTATGGTATTTGTATTTTAATGTAAGATTTCCAAAGGAGAGTAATGAATCTAAAATGGTGGAAACGGGTAGGGGCTTCTTCCAAAATTCCCATAGCAATGATGATGAGGGGCAACTCTTTGAGATAGGTAGCTTGAA